TCATAGAGTTGTCTTCAGCATCAAAATGTCATCCTGTCTCCATGGCCCCAGGATCCTGAGCAGCTTTGCCTACACCACTGACAGTATGAAGAATGTAAATGTTCACCTTTGGAGACTTCTATTGGTGTAGCAGTGCCCACCAATCTGAAAGCTTGGGGAATGGAAACTAAGACACCTCTGTAGGTGCTCCATTGGGACTTTTGTGAACTGTAAATCAGAAAGCTTGTAGATCACTGGGAGATATAAAATGGTGTCTCAGGACATCCTGGGGAGCAGGGAAAGCTCCTGTTCTAGCCACGCAGTACCCACTTTGGCCCAGATCTTGTTGGGGCAGGGATCAAATAATAAAACCATCGAATACCAGGTTAGAAGGGACCTCGAGGTTCATCTGATCCAACTCTTCTTGGCAAAAGCACCATTTAGACAAGATGGCCCAGCACCCTGTCCATCTGAATCTTCAAAGTGCCCAATGATGGGGAATTCACCACTTCCCTGGGGAGATCATTCCAATGGTTGATTGTTCTCACTGTGAAAAATTTTCCTCTTGTGTCTTCTTGGAATCTCCCTAGGAGTAATTTGCACCCATTACCCATCTTCTCCATGGATGGAGAATCCATCTTCTTTAAATATGGGAACATTCTCCTTCTCTGCAGACATTCGAAACCCACCTGGACGCGTTCCTGTGTGACCCAGTTTAGGTGATCCTGCTCTGGCAGGGGTTGGACTGGATGAGCTTCCGAGGTCCCTTCCAACTCCTGAGATTCTGTGATTCTGTGATGGTGATAAGGTCTCCCCTGGGCCTTCCTTTCTCAAGGCTGAACAAACCTGGTTCTCTCAGCCGTTCCTCATGTCAGGCTTCTCAGTCCTTTGATCACCTTTGTGGCCCTTCTCTGCCCCCTCTCCAGCCTGTCCACATCTCTTTTGTATAGCAGGGACCAAAACTGGACACAGTATTGCAGGTGTGGCCTGACAAGTGTGAGCAGAGTGGGATAATGGCTTCTTTATCTCTGCTGGCGATGCCCTTGTTGATGCAACCCAGCATCTTGTTGGGTTTCTGTGCCGCAGCGGCCCACTGTTCACTCATACTGGGTGCAGCCTGTCAGCCAGTTACCCACCCCAAAACACAGACCACTCATCTAGACCACAACACATCAGTTTCTCTAGGAGGAGGCTGTGGGAAACGGTATTGAAAGCCTTGGAGAAATCCACATAGACAATGTCCACTGCTCACCACACATCAACCAAGCAGGCTACTTTGTCGATCAGGTTTGTCAAATTTCAAAGGGAGATTCTTTTCCAGCTTCACTTTTCATTGATTTCAAGTGGCATCAGGGTCACTCCACCCTCGCTAGAAAGTGCTTGTGTAGACCCGTGTTTGGACTAGAAGCCGAATCTTTTGCTCTAAAGTAATTTCCTTGATTTTCACCATTTCACCTGGGTCTTGCTTCATAATTCAGGGCAGCTCTTCCCCTCCGTTGCCTGCCTGGATCACACACGTCCACGTAACGATTCCAGCCACCGCAGTCAGCAGATCTTGAGTCAGCCACGTTTGGCTGAGATCCCTGAACTCTGCCACCCTTGTTACGAGGCACTGCCATTTCAGTCATCCTCCTTCAGCCTCGGTCAGCAGCGTGGGTGAAGATCAACTCAATAAAAAGTATCCGTGCAGTATCTTTGCTTTTGAAAAAGGTGAATTAGTGTCTACACTACCACTGAATATGCAAAGAAATATTGATTTTTATTTTTTTTTTCTTAAGACAAAGCAGGGATATGAAAAAATGTTTTTCCAGAAGGTAGCCTGCCAGCTCTCTTGGCCTCATTGCTTGCCTGAGTGGATGCAAGATGGTTTTTAGTCTATTAATTTGCTCCTGGCTTTAGGAGTTTATTAAGCTGGCAGCCACGGGTTTGTAAGGTTTAAAGCATAAAATGCTTGTATTTGCTCCAGTGTGAAAACTGGCAATAGAGCAAATTATAATTAGTTCCCTTTGCACTGCTTTTAGTGCTTACATGAAAAGGGAAGGTCCCTTTGATGTCTCTGAATTTGTGTTCTGTGCAATCCTTTCATTTTCAAAGAGGTTCATGAAATTTAGCTATAAAATTCAGTGGCCTACATCTCATTCAAGGCCTTTGAAAGTTGAAGGTGAGAAGCAGATGGTCTAGAATGAATAGATGGAAATCATCTCCCATCTACCCAGGCTGGCTGTGGTGCCAAAGATACCATTTTTAATATCACTTCTTTATTGGCAATGCAAAAAAAAAAATCTCACAGACTCCAACTGCCTAAGGGAGTTTAATGTAAAAAAATGCAATTCTGACTGGATGAAGATGCTTTGAATGCGTTCTCAAAGACTGGCACAGGTTCCTTACTCCTTCTTGTGAAGTCCTAAGTGGTTTGTAGCAGTATTTTCCCTTGAAGCTGCGTGCTCCTCCTGCAGAAGCTGCTGTTTCTCTGGTTGGGTACGAGAGAGGCTCCAGTGGCTGTGGTGTGAGGGCTTGATCAGCGATACCCAGAGCCAGGAGAAATGAAGAGGAAAACGTGTCTGGGATCAGCTGCTCTGTCCCGTGGCCAGAAAATAAAGAGCCGTTTGCTGCTGCCCACTCTCTCTCGCTTTGCTCAGCTGCTCAAGTGTGTAGTCAGGAGCTTTCTGCTCCTCCTCAGGGAGACCATGTCACAGCTTTTACAATTCTTGCTGCTAAGTAAATTTCCTGATATTTGGAAATGACGTGAACGAGATGGAAATCTGTCTTATCATGCCATTAGGGTTCTTATTGGAAGCTGCAAGTCAGGGTTTGTATTACTAAATATATATGGGGCTGCCAAACCGACGCATTCAGAAATGATGAGTCAGGCTGTCCGAAAATCACGGCTTACTCAGAAATTAAGAGCTTTCCAAAATAATAAATGTCAACGTCTTTTTCTTTGTAACATCTGGATTATGAATATTTCGGATTCTGACTTGCATTTCTTCTCCACATCAATAGGAGCTGTAATGTTGTTTAATTATAATTTTTTTAGATGAAAGCCGGGGTCTGTGAATTGATGTGAAGCCAGGCATTG